CCCTTTTTTTTCCTTTGAATGCTCCATATTTTTCTTTATATGCATTATGATTTCTTTACATGGGTATATTAAATCTAATAAAGTAGTAGTAACACTCTCTCCCCAGATATCTTATGTTGTCGTTGTTGGCTTTTGTTTGAAATAGTCTCATACAGCCCTGGCTGGCCTTGGATTTGCTATGTAGCCAAGCATGACCCTGAACTTCAGATCTGCCTGCCTCTACCTCCTAAGTGCTAGAATTATCGATGTGAACCATCATGCCTGACTTTTTTGTCTACTCAAATTTTTCTTTAGATTATTTTACGTGTGTTTTACCTGCATGTCTGCATGGGCACCATGTGCATATATGCTGCTAAGAGGCCAGAAAGGGAACATGGATGCCCTGAAACTGGAGTTACATATGGTTTGTGAGCCACATGGGGGTATTGGGTCTTCTGGGTCTACTGCAAGAGCAAGAAGTGTTCTTAACCACGGAGCCATCTCTACAGTCCATGCCTAGCCTTTTGTATTGTTTCTACAATGCATCTATGTATACAATATTATTTCACAGTGCAAAATATTAAATATTATGCATGAGCATAATAAAACATTTAGAAAGTTATGGGATAAGTCACCAACAGAAAGTAGAAATCAAAGTTTTCTTTTTTTTTTGGAGGTCTGGGTTGAGCACCCCACCCCCCGAGATTATGAAAATAACCAAAGTCTTGGGCTGGACAGTGGTGGCTTACACCTTTAATCCCAGCACTTGGGACACAAAGGTATGCAGATCTCTCTGAGTTTAAGGCTAGCCTGCTCTACAGAGAAACCCTGTCTTGAAAAACCAAAACCAAACCAAACAAACAGTGGAGGAGGGAGAAGTCCCTGAGAAGATTTTGAAAATCAACCAATAGGGGCTGAAAATATGGTTCAGTGGTTAAGAGCACTGGATGCTCTTCCAGAGGACCCAGGTTCAAATCCCAGCACCCACATGGCAGCTCTCACCTGTCTGTAGCTCCAGTTTCAGGAGATGCAGACACCCTCACACAGACACAAGTGCACAGACACACACACACCAATGGACATAAAATTTTAAATTATTAAAAAAAAAAAAAGAGAGAGAAGAAAATCAGTCATTAATAAAGCCACTACCCAGGAATAATTATCATTATAACTCAGTTCCACTGAGACCCTGAGACTTATATTCTTAGACAAATACTTGAACAGTTATATAAAATTTGGAGTCATTTGTTCCAAGATGTGTGCAGGGGGTTAAATGATACAGGATGAAGTAGGATGAGTGCCCATAAACTAACATTTGTTTATTTTCCCCCAGGGTTTGGTTTTGTTTATCAGGCAGGGTCTCACCATGTAGCGTGACTCACTTATCCTCTGGCCTCTTCCTCCCAAGTACTTAAACTACAGAGAGTGAGCTAATTTTTTTAAAATAATGTTTTTATTGATTCTTTGAGAATACACTGTATTTTTATCATATTCTTTCCCTTCTCCCAAGATCCCAACTCCTTAACAACGTTATGGTCTTTTTCTTAAAAAAAAAAAAAAAAATCAAATCAAAACAAAACGAACAAAAGCATAAGTCCAATTTGTGTTGAATGACTAGTCCTGGAATGTGGTTGATACACCTGGTGTCACTACTTCGAAGGAAATGAATTTCCCTCTCCCAGCAGCCTTCACTTGCAAATAGCTTCTTGGTTAGGGGTGGGTGGGATTTTGTATCCACTCTCTCTTCTTAGTGCTTGGATTTTGTCTGACTTGAGTTTGTGCATGTTTTATGCATGCTGCCACAGTCTGTGAGTTCATATATGCATCTGCCCTGATGTGTCTAGAAAAAGCTCTTCCTGGGACTGGAGAGATGGCTCAAAGCTTAAAAGCACTGGCTGCTCTTCCAGAGGTCCTGAGTTCAATTCCCAGCAATCACATGGTGGCTCACAACCATATATAATGAGATCTGCTGCCCTCTTCTGGCATGTAGGTGTACATACAGACAGAACATTGTATATGTAATAAATAAACCTTTGAAGAAGAAAGCTCCTTCCTTTCTGACAGACTGTAACAATCTTTCTGTCCTCATCCATATCGATCTCCTGAGGAGAAGGGTGTGATATGGGCTGAGTGTTCCAAGGTCTCTTATTCTCTGCAAGGTAACCAAAGTTGTTTGTGTGTGTGTGTGTGTGGGGGTATTGTTTTTGCTTGCCTGCTTTCTTCAGAGACAAGATCTCACTATGTAGCGCTATGTGCTCTACAGACCAGGCCGGCCTCAAACTCAGAGATCTGCTTCTGCCTCCTAAGCCCTAGGACTACAGGTGTGCACCATCATGCCTAGCTCTTTCAGGTTTTTTTGAGACAAGGTCTCACTTTGCCAGGATGCCTTTGAACTAACAGCAATCCTCTTGTCTCAGCCTCCCCTTAGCTCAGTCTCCCAAGTGCTGGGATTACAGGCACAAGACACTAACCCCACTTACATTTGTTCATTTTTTTTTTTTATGTGAGACTTTATACGTTGCCCAGGTTGGCTCCAATTCATATGGGTCCTGTCTCAGATTCCAAAGCAGCTGGAGCCACTGCACCCAACTGGAAATTTGTGCTGTGAAAACTTGATTCCAAAAGTGGTCTTTTACTTAAGCTTTTACTTAAGTGATTTTCCAAATGGCTTTGGAGTATTACTCAAGCAAAACAAGGAAGCTTTCCGGATAAAAGTAAGTAAAGGTACTGGATAAATGGCTCAGTGATCTAGAGCACTTGTTCTTGCAAAGAACCTAGGACCACATGGTCACTCACAACCATCTTTAACTCCAGTTCCAGGATATCCAACCCCTCTTCTGGCCTCTTCAAACCTCTATGGACACACACATAACATACAAATATACCCATATAAGCATATAGGGAAATATTCATATATAAAATAAATCTAAGAAAAGAAAGAAGAAAGAGAAGAAAGGAAGGAAGGAAGGAAGGAAGGAAGGAAGGAAGGAAGGAAGGAAGAAAGCCAAGATTTTAAAATGTAGAAGATGCAGGACATGGTGGAATGTACCTTTAATCCCAGAACTGGAGAGAGAAGTGGATGGATCTCTGTGAGCTGAATGACAGGAAGCCTGGTCTATAGACTGAGTTCCAGGACAGCCAGGGCTACACAGAGAAACCCTGTCTCACAAAGATCTGCCTGCCTCTGCCTCCTGAGTGACTAAGTGATAAAGTGACACCACCCTAGAAACTTGATAGCAGAGCCAGAGGTAAGGAAGGAAGCTCACAGACACTAGACCCTGAGGGACCACAGAGACCTGAATGTATTCTTATAGGCCACAGGGCTTCCTTGAGGAGTTTTTTAAGAGGGTGAAGTTTGGCAAAGCTTATATTTTAGAGGACAGTTCATGATGTGTGTTTAGGACAGATTAGGGGAATCTGAAATGCAGGGAGGGATCTGGCTAGAAAAAAGACATTTGTCCAATTCATTGTTTTTGTTTTGGGCAGGGTTTGTATGCATGTGGTGCAGGAACATGACAGAGGCCAGAGAGGAGCACCGGGCGTCTCCCGCTGCCACTTTCTACCTTACTGCCTTTGAGGCAAGGTCTCTCACTTAACTGGAAGATAATTGTCTAGGGTAAGCTAGCTCCAGGGATCCTCCTACCCTCTCTCCCCAGTGCTGTGGTAGAGACATGAACAGCCAAGCTCCACTTCTTTTTAAATATTTATTTATTATTTATACAGCATTCTGCCTGCATGTGTACCTATACACCGGATCTCACTACAGATGGTTATGAACCACCATGTGGTTGCTGGGAATTGAACTCAGGGCCTTTAGGAAGAATGGCCAGTGTTCTTAACCTCTGAGCTATCTCTCCAGCCCCAACCTCCACTTTTTATGTGGGTGCTCATGAGCGTGCAGGTCCTCATGCCTGTACCGCAAGCACTCTTATTTACTAAGCTATCTTAACGCCTCCATTTTGTTTTCTTTTGGGGGATTTGTTTTTTGTTTGCTTGTTTTATTTCAAGACAGGATTTCTCTGTGTAGCCTTGGCTGTCCTGGAACTCGCTCTGTAGACCAGGCTGGGGGCTTTTTTTCTTTTTTTAAAGACATGGTATTTCTTACTTTGCAATCAAGGCTGGCTCACAGTCTGACGCTGGAACACCTTTGGTCCTAGAGTAACTGCATTAGCATGCCCTATCAAGTCTGCCTAAAATTTTAATATATTTATCACTTACACAGTATTTACTTATTAATTATCACTTACATACACAGTAACATAACTGTCCCGATTCTTTGTTTTTCGAGACAGGGTTTCTCTGTGTAACAGCTCTGGCTGTCCTGGAACTCAAATCTGTAGAGAGCCGCCTGCCTCTGCCTCCCAAGTGCTGGGACTCACTAGAGCCGTGTGCCACCACCGCCTGGCTCCCTCCGGATTCTTTACAGTAGGAGATAGTCTGATACTGTATATTTCATCGTGTCCTATTTCCTTTTCAAGGTGTTGGCTACAATAAATTACACCGATTTTGTGACATACGGGTAAGTTCATTATTACTTGGTTTTCGAGACCTCGGATGTCTTGGAGGAAGGGAAGCTGACGGAGTTATAGCTTTGGGATGTGCACTTTCAGGCTGAGTCTCAACCGCGACAGTGCATCAAAACCACCTACATACTATAGAAAATGCAGCTCTCCGGACATGTAGATGTATTCGTACTCAGCATCTACGCGTATTCGGAAATATATGGCACATTTCTGCCCAGAAAACATATAAAAGCGAATATATACTTACAGAGCTGACACCCACTAAGCTCAGGAGTTATGTGACAGCCTGGGGAGGAGCCCAGGTAGGGGCAGAGAGCATTGCGTGTGGCACCTGCGGTGTCAGGCACGTACTAATGCCCAGGGCCTCGCCTAGCAGAATCCACGGCCACAACACAGGACCTGGTGACCGTGGCTGAATAACCGACCGTGCGCAACCGAGTTCGCAGGCGCGGGCCCGCCGCGCGCACGGCAGCCGACCCACAGTGCCCCGCGGCGCGCACGCGCAGGCCGCCGCTCCCGGCGTGCCCCGCGGCGACCCAGCCGGCTGCCTCAGGCAGCCCCGCGGGGCCGGCCGGGCCCAAGCTGCGGGAGCATGGCGCTGAAACGGATCCAGAAGGTAAGGGTGGCAGAAACGGGGCCCTCCCGCCCTTCCACTCCCGCAAGGAATGGGAACGCGCGACGGCGCGCGTTGACACCTGCCCCGCGTTAGGCGGAAGCAGCGCAGATTCTGGAGGCGGGTGCGTGCGCCGAGCGAGCGGCTCGCGGGGCGGGGTCACGCGACCGTGTCATGTGCGCGCGCCGCCGCGGGCTGGGCTTCAGGGAGCAGCGGCCGTGCCTCCCAGGGTGCCTAGCAAGGAGGAGGAGCCGCAAGCCTATTTCATCCTGGAGGTAACGGTCTGTATTAGCCCGTTAAGCTAGAATTTGGTATATGCGCCGCAGAAAAATAAAAGCAGCTCTGTCCTCCCTCACCACCAGTCCACACGTAACGTTTTAGCATAGCTGCTTTTCGTCCTGTTCCTGAAAGAAAAAAACACTCTAGAATTCTGTTTTGTTTGTTTGCTTGTTTGTTTTTGAGACAGGGTCTCTGCATAGTCCTGGCTGACCTGGAACCCACTATATAGACTAAGCCAACCCCGAAATCAGAGAGCCACCTGCCTCTGTTTCCCAAAAAACTGGTAGTAAAAGGCAAGCGCCACCACACCCGGCATTATGCTGTATTTGGGATCCACTTTTTCACATAGCATTAGAACTTTGGAGTTTCTATACTAGAAAATAGAAGTTATAACTTTTTCTAAAAAAGATCTGGTTGATTTTAGTTTATGTTGTATGCTGATTTTGCTTGCACATGTGTAAGTACCCGCAGAGGCCAGAAGAGGGCATCTGTTCCTCAGGAACCACAGTTACCTGTATTGTAAAGTGCCTCATGTAGGCACTGAGATTCATGTTCAGATCCTCTGGAAAAACAGCACATGTCCTTAACCATGGAGCCATTTCTCTAGCCATATGACCCTAACTTTTAACAGTAGCATGAATCTTTCCACCAAGTGGATCCGGAGTACGTGTCTTAGTCAGATGTCTGCTGCTGCAGTAAACACCGTAACCAAAAGCAACTTGGGGAAGAATGGGTATGTTTGGCTTCCGGGATCTGTAGTCCATCACCAGAGGAAGCCAGAGCAGAAACCTGGAGGCAGGAACCGAAGAAGAGGCCACAGAGCCGTGCTGCTTATTGGAGTATGCCTCTTAGCTTGCTCAGTTTGCTTTATTATATGCCCCAGGACCATGTGCCCAGATATGGCAGCATTCACAGTGGGCTGGACTCTTCTGCGTCAATCACATAAATCCTCCCAGTCTTGTCTACAGGACAGTCTGATGGAGGGATTGGCTTGGTTGACGTTCCCTGTTCCCAAATGATCCCAGCTGTGTCAACTTGACAAAAAACCAGCCCTTAATCAACTTAATATACCAGTACATTACTATTAATCTGTAATTTTTCCTTTCTTTAGTCATGAGATCTCATATTAATATCACAATATGAAACAATTCCAACTTTTAACTAATATGCTTTGCTTTTTTAAAGTTACTTATTTTGTGTGTCTGGTTGTTTTGTCTGCATGTATGTTTGTGCATCGTATGCCAGCTTGGTACTCTGCGGAGGCCAGAAGAGGGTTTCAGATCCTCTGGAACTGGAGTTACATATGTTTGTGAGCCATGTGGATATTGCAAGCAAGTGCCCAACCACTGAGCCATCTCTTCAGCTCCCATTCCAACTTAGAAAAGTCCACGGTCAGTAAAAACTCAAACACTTCACAAGCTCAGTCTCAGTCTGGAGAGATAGCTCAGCAATTAAGAGCACTTGTTACTCTCACAGAGGACTTGGGTTCGATTCCCAGCACCCACATGGTGGTTCACATCCATCCATATTCCAGTTTCTGGGGGTCAGGCGTCCTCTTATGTCCATGGTCACCAAGCACATATGTACACATACATGCATGAAGGCAAAACATTTACACAAAATATGTAGAAAATAATCTAATTTTTTTAAAGTAAAAGCTCAGTCTCTTTAAAATATCTAAAGTTGAATAAAAAGGCATGTGCCATCACATTGCCTTTAATCCCAGAATACTCAGGAGGCAGAAACAGGCCAGTCTTAGAGTATGAGGCAAGCCTGATCTACAGAGCAAACTACAGGACAACCAGAAAAACTTTTTCCTGAAAAACCAAAATAAATATCTAAACTCTCTTAACTGTGAGTTCCTATAAAATCAAAATGTTACAAACATTCTATTGCAAGAGGGAAGAACCAGGACAGTTACACTCAAATCAAAGTGGAGCCCAAATCCTCTGTGTAGGGTAAATAACTGCCCAGTGTGTGGCTTTTGGGGCACATGATCTTACGGGCTCTGCAGGGCTTGGGAAGCTTCACTTACCTGGCTCTGCCCTCCACAGCACACATAGTTTGTCTTACAGGATGGTGCCAAAAGAAAGGCGATAGAGAAGAGGAAGAGAGAATCATGCCTTAGAGTTAGGCATGGAGCTCAGCCAGCAGGCAGCTACATGGCAGACAAAAAGCCTCATGGGGTCTGGGATGGAACTTCAGAGAAAGAGTGAGAATGCCCAGAGTGTTAGGGAGAGCATGCCCAGGCTTGGGCCCTTGTCTGAAAGGAAGAAAAAGGTGGTTTTTAAAAAAAAAAATCTCATTAAGAGTTTAATTTATTATACCTGTCTTTTTTGCATGGCTTTAGGATAATCCCCCTTCCTGAAGTGTGGTCTCTTAGCCAGGTGATTAACCAGCCCAGCTGGATTAACTCCTACAGCTTGTAATGATAGGTTCTATCCAAACCAGATGTAGAATCCACTGTCATGATCAGGAAGAGATAGCTTTCTCTTAAGGGGCCTCCAGTGCCACTGTAACATCCACCCCTCTGAAGAGGTAATCCTAAAGCCATTTAAGAGATGAGCTAAGATTGGGGAATAGATGAAACCTATTCCTATCATGAAAATCCAGATATCTATTTCCACAGCTGTTCCCTAGAAGGGATTAGTATCTGACTGGAGCATCAGAGTGTCCAAACAGGTGTGCTCATTCGGGAGGTGTTAAGAAGAAACCAGAGCTCCTTACTGATATTCATAGCCAAGGAACCAAGGCCATTCCTAGAACTGCTGCTTTTGGCTTCCCTGCCCCTAAACTGTCTAATTTCTATCTCCCATTTTCATCATTCCCCCTCTTGAAGACTTAACCCCAACTATCAATTCAGAATTGGGATGACAGTCTATCTTTCTTCTTTGAGCTAATTGGGGTCATCAGGTGTGGCAGCTGAATTACCTCTCCAGTGGATATATCTAAGGGACTGTGAAATTTTGTTAATGGTCCCTTTTGTACAGCAACCTGATATAAGGAAAGGAAGTTCTTTGCTGGTACCTGGAAAAAGGCATCAGGGAGAAGTAAAATTGGAGCCTTTGAGCAGAGAAAATGATTCCATTCCCCAAGGGCTAGCATGAGTTAGTATGAAATGTTAGGATTATAAGCCCTCGATAGACAACCAAGAAGACAGGACGGGTCGTTTTTAGTGTCCAAAGTCTGTTAGAATCCCTTGATAGGCTCACAAAAAAACATTCATTCATTAGGCTCCTCCTTGGCTGTTTTATCTATTTGGCTTGACTCCCCAGTGATGATACTAGGATATGCTTTTACACAGTTTGATAGCTGTTGGGCTAGCTAGGCTCATACTGTGAGATTCTTCTCAGATGGTGTATTAGTCAGGGTTCTCTAAAGAAACAGAAATGGGAGTGGATATGTGTGTGTATATATATATATATATATATGGCATATATTAGAGTGGCTTACAGGTTGTGATCTGTCTGGTCCAACAATGACTGTCTCCCTGTGGAAAGATGAAGAATTTGGTAGTTGTTTCAATCACCAGGCTGGATGTCTCAGCTAGTCTTCAGTGTTGTTGGAATCCCAAAGAAGTAGATTCTAATACCAGCGAAGGATTAGAGGCTAGATGAACTTGCCAGCAAGAGGGAAGACAAGCAGGCAAACAGCAAAAGCTCCCTTCTTCCATGTTCTTTTATGTGGAGTTTGCACCAAAAGGGGTGGCCCAGATTAGGCTGGGTCTTCCAACCTCAAATGATACAATTAAGAAAATCTCTGTTGGGAGAGATAGCTCAGAGGTTAAGAGCACTGGCTGTTCTTCCAGAGGTCCAGAGTTCAATTCTCAGCCACATGGTGGCTCACAACTGTCTGCAATGAGACCAGAGAGCAGGCACACTAGCAGGCAGAACACTGTATACATAATAAATAGATCTTAGAAAGAAAAAAAAAGTTAAAAGAAAATCTCTGATATGTATGCCTCGCTGCTTGCATTTTAATTGGTTCTAGATTTAGCGAAGTTGACAACCAAGATCAGTCATCTTAGGTAGCCTCACAAGTACAGGCAGGCTCCAAACGATGCAATCTGGGTCTTGTTTTGATCTCCCTTTGGTTCATAGGCACAAACTGTTGCTCACTCTGTATTTATTTTTATTTTGTTAATATGTGTCTATGTGTCCTTGTATGTGTGTATGTCACATGTATGGATGCCTGTGGGGGCAAGAATGGGGTGTTGAATTCCCTGGAACTGGAGTCATGGTGGGTGTAAGCCCCTTGAAGTAGGTGTTGGGAACAGAATTCTGGTCTGCTGCAAGAGCAGCAAATGCTCTTAACTGCTGAGCGTCTCTCTAGTCTGTCACCGTGAACTCTTGGCCATCTTGTATCCACCTCTGTATCTTGTATCCACCTCCTGCCTGGCCTTCTTCCCAACCATCCCCTAAGGCCTTCTGCCAGAAGAATCAGTCATAGCCAGAGGATCAGTGTACAGAGTCATTTTCCTAGTCATTTAATAACCTATCTCCTGGCTCATATTCTAGGAACTGACTGACTTACAGCGGGATCCTCTTGCCCAGTGTTCTGCAGGACCTGTGGGTGATGACTGTAAGTATTTTTCCACAAGATTTCAGAAGGTTTGCAACCAAAACCTCCAGTGTTCTCAGGGACCAGACCTCCTTCCCACTCTCCCCATTGAGCAGTTCTTAAGAAATCTAATTTTTATTAGTTTGTTTTTGCAGTTTTGAGACAAGTCTTGTTCAATGGCTGAGGGTGGCCTGAAACATACTATGTAGTCCAGGTTGACCCTAAACTCTTAATCTTCCTGCCTTATTCTCCAGATTGCAGGAATTATAAATGTGTGCCACCTTGCCTGATATGGATTGCTTTCTCTTCTCTTCTCTTTTTCTTTTTCTTTTTTTCCCTTTCTTTTGTTTGTTTGATTTTTTTTTTGTTGTTTTTTTTTTGAAGTTTAAGGACCATTTCCCATTGTATTAGATTTTGAAAACAATAACAACAGGATAGGCAAGTTATAATTCAGCAGCTGCCAGGAAGAGAAAAATGGAGAAGAGGAGAAATAGTTTCCTTTTAAGTTAGAGTTAAAGAAAGCAGGTTTGTTCAGCAGTGGAACTGAGCCTCTTCGTGAAGCTGGGAACTGAGTTCTTCAGAGAAATAATGAGAAAGTCCAGAGAAGAGGCAGTTCAAGCATGCTTAGGATTTTGGCCAGTATCCAAAAAAGGGAAAGGGATAAGTTTTAGAACTCAGTAAAGTGGACAGGTTTAGCAGTGAAGATCTGCAAGCTACTGCCTGAATTGGGGATCGTGAGCTCACATTAGCATGACTGGTCAGGTTACATTCCAGATGCAGCCTGCACTGTCAGAAGTCGTTCTTTCTCTACTGAGTCATGTGGAAGACAGGTCGTCCCAGATGAGACACAGGATACCAGTGCAAATGGTACACAGCTAATTGAAGAGGACTGTATGTGGGAGCCATGCTGGTGGGAAGACCAACAAGGGGCTCAGCAGCTGCTCTGTGCCTCTGCCAAGATGAGAAAACAGCATGAGTACCTGCTGTTTTCTCCTCCTGCTTCTCCACAGAGGGACCCCGCTTCCCTCAGAGCAGGCTGCCTGGAGCTACTTACCTTGTGCTGCTTACCATCTCATTCAGCTTACAGGCTGCTGGGGCTCGGAACAGTCCTCTTCAGTGTACTACAGCTACAGGGGCAGGAAAACTGTAAGGAAGGATGCAATTTCCACACAGCAAAGAATTGAAAAGCAGGGCCTAACCCAATAGGAAGAATTTATGAAAGCCAATCTGGGTTGAATCACGATCAAAACAAATCTCAGCATTGCCTTTGAGAAGTTCTAGATTAGGCTGAGGTAGGAAGATCCCCCCAAAATGTGAGTGGCACCACTCTATTGGTGGGAGCCCGAGAATAAGTTAGAAGGCAGCTGAGCATAAGCACTCCCCTCTGTGCTTCCTGCCTGTGGATGCAGTGTGGTCAGCTGCTCACACCCCTGCTGCCATGGCACTGCCATGGCGGACTGTACCCTCGAACTGTGAGGCAGAGGAAATCCTCCTTCCTTAAGTTCTCTTGTCAGGTAGTCTGTGTGGCAGTATGGAAAGTAGCTAGTGCACTACCCACGTGCCCATCAGGCAAATGGATAGATAAAATGTTGGGCTTGGGTAGAAGCCAAGAAAACTCACTTCAGATACAAAAGCTTAAAGTGAAAGCTTTATTTTCTGAACTCAGGGATATGGCCAGTTTGAGATCTGAACGGAGCCCCCTTGTTTCCTAGGGGAAGCCATATTGCGTATTTAAAGGGTGAAAACCAAAAGGCAAGAGGGCATTGGTTAGTGTCAGGGTCATCCAGTCAAATTTTAATATCATGGGTTAAGCAAGGGAGCTTCTGTTGGAGGCTAAGGCCAGGACACCTGGTCTCAAGGCCTTAATTGTTTTCCAAGACATTCAGTCTGGAGTCCTTAATTTATTCTCCTAGACATTTGGTCTGGAGCTCAAAGTGATAAGGGAACAAAGAAGTGGGTTACCTGTGTTAGGATTTAGCTGAATGATGTAATCCAAGAAGTCACACCACAAGGCAGGCCTCACGTGAGAGGGGACTCAGAAGCAGCTTTTGAGTGGCAGAGAGAAGAAAAGGGCAGAGCAAAGTGGACAGGGTCTTTCTGTAAGATGACTGCACATGTGCAAGAGGTAGCGCGTGCTTTGTGACTGTTGTAAAGCTGTCGCAGCTCAGCAGGTATTTGGATGCCAACAGGTGGTTCCTGGCAGCTGAAGAAGGTGTTGCCCTGGTGATGACGAGCTCTGCTATTGCCAGGTTCCTGGGGCTGATGTGGAGATGCCTGATTACTAATAACTGAGGGCTTTGCAGGCAATACATTTTTACAATTTAGGCACCTCAGTTAAGCAAGTTTTATAGGTTTTACCAGTTAACAGACTATTAGGAAAGTGTTTCCGGGGCCCAGGTAGGAGATGGCTATGCAAATTTGGGAATGTGAACCTAGTTTGCCTTGCTAGCAAAATGGGGAAGGAAAATGTAAAAATTGCTTCAAGAAGACTGGGTTCTGGTGGCTGCCTCCTAACAAAAATGTGGAGCCGGATTTGATTCCCAGCACTCAAATGATTGCTCAAAACCATAACTCCAGGTCCAGTCTCTTGTAGACTCCACAGGCACCAGGCATGCATATGGAACACATACATATATACAGGCAAAGATAAAAATAAATAAGATCACACATCTTATCACACATAAGATAATCACACATAAGATAAAAATAAATCTTAAAAAAAGAATATTAATGCCACATATAATGGCCCTAAATGTATATTTCAAAGTTGTGTAAATGGCCAGGCATAGTGATGTTTGCCTGTAATTCCAGCACTTGGGAGGTTGAAGCAAAAGATCCACAAATTCAAGGGCAGCCTTGGTTTCATGATAGATTGCTTCAAAAAATAAAACACAAAGCCCGGTAGAGGAGGAGGGGAATGAGGTGGTGTTAGGAGCATACCTTTAATCCCAGTACTCAGGAGGCAGAGGCACTCCCTTTGTAAACTTTGTAAGGCAAGCCTCTCAACCCCAATGGCCCCTCCCAGAACTGAGGCAGGAGAGTGGCCAGGTCCTGCCCAAGAAGAAGGAGGGGGAGGAGGAGGAGGGGGAGGAAAAAAAAAAACCAGAAAACACCACCAATCCCTGAGTTCTGAGTTTGCCCCATGATCAAGCTGCATAACCCTCCAGTCTCAGGCCACCCTGGAAGTTACCTCCACCCCAAGAAACCCTGTATAAACCCTGTGTTCTGCCTAGTTCTCTGCTGCTTCTCACCCAAGCACAGGCAGCCACCCTCCTGGGTTTTTCACTCCAATAAATCTCTTGTGTGAGTTTTGTTGTGTGGTGTGACTTTTGTCTTACGGTGTGTGTTCCTCAGCATCTGACTGCCAGTATATTTCCCACCCAAGCTATAGCACTTACAAGGTGGATCTCTGAGTTCAAGGCCAGCCTGGTCTACAGAGCATTCCAGAACAGTCAGGGCTACACAAATAAACCCTGTCTTGAAAAACCAACCAACCAACCAACCAAATAAATATCAAACACACATGAACAAAGCCATTTACACAAATTGTACCTAAAGTGTACATGTGTGCACGCGCATGTGAAAGCCAGAAATTGTTCCCCCTTTTATTTTCTTAATTTTTTTTTTTTTTTAGGTTTTTTGAAGGTTTCTCTGTGTAGCCCTAGCTGTCCTGGAACTCACTCAGTAGACCAAGCTGGCCTCTGCCTTCCTAGTATTGGGATTAAAGGTATGCGCCATCACTGCTCGGCTAATTATTTTATTATTTAATGTCTAGTTTATTATTTTATGTGCATGTATGTCTGTACACAACAGTGCCTTCAGAAGCCAGAAGAAGACAATGGATTCCCTTGAACTGGAGTTACAGATGGTTGGGAGCTGCCATGTGGGTGCTAGGAATTGAACCTGTGTGCTCTGGAAGAGCAACCAATGTTCTTAACAACTGAGCTATTTCTTCAGCCCCTTCACCTTATCTTTTGAGACAGGTTGTCTCGCTGAAGCTGGAACTCACCACTTTGCTAGACAGGTGGTTAACTATGTAGTCCTAAGACCATTGCATGCTGCCACATCTGACCTTTACTTGGGTGCTGGGATCCAAACTCAGCTTCTCATGCTTTCACTTGGCCCACTGAGTCATCTTCTTGGCCCCATAATTTTTTTTTTGAGACAGTAAAAATGGCCTTAAAATTTGAGCCTCCTGTAAATAGTTATTTTGATATAATATACATTTTACTATCTCTTAATAAGAAAAGCATTTTTTAGGACTGGAGATGATTCAGTCAGTACATAAGGGTCTGAGTTTGACATGCAATGCCCACGCTGAAACACACACCTGTAATCCTAGTTCCGTTGAGAGAGTTAATGGGTCTAAGTATGTGCCATGCAAACCTGGCAACTTGAGTTTGATCCCAGAGCCCATGTGAAAATGGAAAGAGAACTGACTCCGTGAGCACTGTCCTCTGACTTCACCTACACACTGTGGCCCGTGAGCACCCAGACAGACATCATCCGTATACAATAATAAAAATATAAACCAAATAATTAGCATAGATGGGATTAAAACAGCAAAAGCAAAATAACTTATATTTTTGAAATGACTCAGCAGGTAAAGGCACTTGCTGTTCAGGTCTGATGACCTGAGTTCAGTCCCCAGGAGTCGCAAGTGAATGGAAGGAAGCACTCCACTGAGTCTTCCTCTGACCTCCATGTGTGTGCTGTGGCTCAACAAGCCTGCCACAATAATGATTTAAAACTGCTTAAAGGAAGTGATGTCTTCATTAGCTCAGGCAACAGTAAATAAGCGTTTTATTGAAATACTGAGAAAAATCTGTGAGCTGATTGGCTGCCTTTCTGCAGCCAAAGGGTTTCAGAAGCTTCTCTTCAGTCCTGTGTTCTAAATGTCAGTGTTGTACCTGTCCTATTGACATGGACATTCTATAGAATTCTATCGAATGTTTGAACAGGAAAACCAGGACAGATCCAGGCCTTAACCCTTTCCCTACTTCAATACCTGTCATGAATTTTTATGAGCTGGATCCTCTTGAGAATGAAGACCTCTAAAAACTCACAAGCCCACCCCACGAGTGAAAAGACGTCTTCCACAGAGGCTCTAGAGCCCATTGCCCTGAGGTGCTCATCACCCTCAGAACACTTGCTGGGTTACTGGGTAAGACAACGTGGGGGACCGAGATGCCCCCCAACCTGGAAGAGACAGTGAAAAAGGCTTCATGAATCAAGAGAGCAACCGGGCAACAGAAAAGCTTGCCAACAACAACATGTCAAATGGCAGAAGCTAGTTAAGATGTAATTCTGTACAAAGAGAGTGCTGGGTTGTAGCCACAGTGGTTAAGAACCCTTGCTGCTCTTTCAGGGAGCCTGATTTCAGTTCCCAGGACCCATATGACATCCACAACTGTATTCAACTCCAGTTCCAGAGGATCCAACACTGTCCTAGCCTTCTTAGTACCAGACACATATGTGATACATATATGTACATGCAGGCAGAATACCCATACACATAAAATAAAAATCTTGCAAAAAATAAAAAATAAAAAAAAGATCTGAGGGATCTTTTGTTTGTTTTGTTTTTTGAGACAGGGTTTCTCTTTGTAGCCTTGGCTGTCCTGTACTCATTTTGTAGACTAGGCTGGCCTCAAACTCACAGAGATCTGCCTGCCCCTGTCTCTGAGTGCTGGTATTGCAGGTGTGCGCCCTGCACCCAGCTTGACCTAAGGGGTCTTTAACCTCATTTCTGAGAGGTGCTCATCAGTCATGGGCTCACAGTGGAGTCTCACTAACAGCTCAGCACTGCTACACAGGTAAGCATTCCTGATTGGCAGTAACTGTCTAGGACATTGAATTTGGATCTATGTCACTTTAGTAACTATCCCTCTGGATGCAGTAACCTCCAGAGAGCCCTGGAGCCCTAGTGAGTTATGGAGCTTGAGAGTGCTTTTCAAAGCCCCAAACTTGCAGTCAGTGTCAGAAATGAGGCAGGCTTTTGTGGACCTTGGCTCTGAGCTTAGCAGCACCCTTCAGTAGAACAGACCCTTGGCTGAGGCGCCCTTACGTGCCCGTCTCTCTTTTGTCTTGTAGTGTTCCACTGGCAGGCCAGCATCATGGGCCCGGTAGGTAGTGTTGCTGCATGCACGGCTCTAGTTTGTTTCTTGCATGTTTCCTACAGGCATTTATTTCTTTCTCTGTCTTGTCCTTCCAGAATGACAGTCCTTACCAAGGAGGTGTTTTTTTCCTGACCATCCACTTTCCTACAGATTATCCTTTCAAGCCGCCAAAGGTGAGGCTACTCCCAACTCCCACAATGTTCTAATGAGAGGACAGCTTCCTGTGACCTTCTCTGTCACAGATAGAGAGAGCTGTGTATACCTTCTCCCATTGCTCTGCCATTCCCACTCAGTGGTTACAGCCTGCTGGGGAAGAAAGGGTTTATATTATCTTAGAACTCCATCACTAAGGGAGATCAGGACAGACTCAAACAGGAGCCTGGAGAAGGGGCATGGCAGAGACAATGGAGGAATGTTGCTTACTGGCTTGGCTCCTCATGGCTTGCTTAGCCTGTTTTCTTATATAACCCAGGGGTGGTACCACTCACAGGGGGATGGGTCTTCCTACACCAATCATTAGTCAAGAAAGTGTCCTACAGACTTGCCTAAAAGCCAGTCTGATGGAGACATTTTTCTCAGTTTACTCCCAAATGACTCTAACTTGTGTCAAGTTGACAGAAAACTAACCAGGAATGCTGTGAGCAAGGGTAAGTATGGTAAATGGTTTCCTTAATGAAGTCACAGCTTTAAAGATTCTCTGGTACCAGGAGTATCTAGTGTAAAAGACCTGACTACTGTAGGTGGAAGGTTCTAGAAGTCTGAAGGAGGATGTAATGGCTAGGCATGGCAGTGTGTGCCTTTAGTCCCAGCACTTGGGAGGCACAGGCAGGTGGATCCCTGTGAGGTTAAGGCTAGCCAGAGCTATGCATTAAGACCTTGTCTCAAAAAGAAAAGATGAAGGAAGGGTTTGATATTTGGGCTGAGGAACAGAAGCATGGGCAAAGATGACATCCCACTGACTTAAGTCAGAGGCTGGTGGCATATGTATTTACTAGTCAGGACAAAAGTGGCTTTCCTCCAAGCTGGAATGTACCTGGTTTATGTCAAGTTAAAATCAAAGACAAGGTGCAGGGTAGAGCCCAGGTCCAGTTGTAGAGCAGCCTTGGTGCCTCTCTAAGGGGGAGGAGATGTTCAGGTCTGTTGATGTTGTTGTTGTTGTGGTATACTGGGAAATGCAGTATACTGGAGAAAACAGACCAGGTTTGCCCAGGGGCTGTTGAACAGCCACGGATGGCAGATGCAGGTCAGTGTGGATCTCTAAACTGCCCTCTGTCACAGTACTGGTATCTGTTCAGGCTCTGGCTTCCCTCCTTAAGGTTAAAGCAAAGTTCTCAGCGGGTGTGATTTTTCACCTGTCCCAGGGAGATGGAGACAAGGCCGTGGGGGACGTGGGTGTGTTGCTGGGGCCCGGGTGAATGAGTGAAGAGTGCTGCCACACGCTCTGCACTGACTGGGACGGCCCCCTTCTAAGTCACCTGGTCCAGAAGCCTGGAAAATTAGCCTGTGTTGTAGTTAAAAGGAGTTTAGATGCTCCTTTACCTTCACAGACATACCCTGTGTCTTAGTTTCATTTCAGTTGCTGTGGTAAAGTACCTGACAAAAGCAACTTTGGGGAGAAAGAGTTTATTTTAATTCATGGTTTCAGGTTACGGTCCATCATTTCAGGGAAGCTGCAGCAGCAGGAGCTTGAGACAGCTGGGCACAGTGCATCATAATCAAGAAGCAAACAGTCCTTAACTGATATTCTCTTTCTAGGTGATTCTAGATTGTGTCAAGTTGACAGCCACAACTAGCCATCACACCAGTCCCTCTAAAGGTTCAGAGAGTAGTTACATCAATGAAAGGAGAGACCTGAGGGCCAGGTGTATTGTTGGGAGGGCCTGTCTGCAAGGTATCTTGTTCTTGTACATGGCTTTTCACACCATGCCTGCCCACACTCACTTGAGATTACATGCCATAAATTGGATACAGAAACGTGCCAAAAAGACATAAGCAGTGCTGGCAGCAAGAGCCAGGTGGCCATGGATATTTCTCTAGTGACCAGGCACTACATAAATTCAAGCAGGAAGGTGATTACAAGGAACCCCTCAAGAGGGCAAGCCTTTGTGAGAAGGAAATTTCTGTGGGTAGCGGAGGCCCAAGGGATACAGCTGAGGAGTGGGGTCTGCATAACAATTATGTGGGCATCAGTTAAGGAGCTGACAGATGCATATTGAGAACCAGTCAGTGAAACACATGGTCCATGTTCACACTAATTATTATTATTATATTTTATGACAAAAAGTAGCCAGATATTTTATGCCTGTAATCCCAGTTTTGGGAGGTAGATCCAGGAAGATCAGGAATTCAAGGCCAGCCTGGGCTACATGAGGCCCTACCTCAAAAAAATAAAAAATGTTGATACAAATCTGTGTCCCAGTATTTAGAAGCCTAAGGCAGGAGGATCTCAAGTTTGAGACCGTCATAGGCTACATAGTAAAAACATGTCTCAAAACATAAAACAAGGTCCAGCATGGTTCCCTACACATTACAGTTGCTATTAAAAAAAAAGTCCAGCTGTGGTGGTGCACACTTTTAATTCCAACATTTGGGAGGCAGAGGCAGACAGATCTTTGTGAGTTCACAGCCAGCCTGGTCTGCCTAGGGTGTGAAGGACAACCAGGGCTCTGTTACGCAGAGAAGCCCTGTCTCAAAAAACCCAAAAAGAAAGAAAAAAAAAAGTTGGTATTTTTGGGGGGAAAGTTTATTTTAATTCATGGTTTCAGGTTACGGTCCATCATTTCAGGGAAGCTGCAGCAGCAGGAGCTTGAGACAGCTGGGCACAGTGTCTCAAAAATACAGTTGGTATTTTTTTCTTGAGAGTGTAAAGGTTCTTTAAATTAAAGAAGAAAGAAAATGGTGTTTGGACAAGAGTTTTCTGACCTGGAGTGGGCAAGCTCGTGTGACCATTACAGAAGACTCTGAGATAGGTAACACCTGAAGCTTTGAACCTGGGCCCTTCCTGAGAAAATCACATAGTAAAAGATCTCCAAGCACACTGCCTTTGCCCTCTTCACCTGTTGAAAAGTATGCTTTTTTTTTTTTTTTTAAGTATATTTTAGGGCTCATTGGTGGAGTTGGTAGGAAGAGGACTGAGGAGAAAGCCTGATTCTTATCCTATTCATGAGACAGTTAAAAATATACATGGTTTCAGAGAGGCAGAGGCAGGCAGATTGCTGTGAGTTCAAGGCCAACCTGGTCTACAGATTTTGTCTAGGGCAGCCAAAACTACACAGAGAAATTCTGTCTCCAAACAGAAAAACAGATAGATAGATAGATAGATAGATAGATAGATAGATAGATAGATAGA